TCGTACTTCATTACTTCCATAAACTTTGAGCTAGAAACTAAAGAAGTTTACGGAATTGCCTGGTGAGGTGAATTTTTTACATGGACTCCATGTATATCTAAATCTCTTATGCTCTATCCTGTTCTAGAGCTACTTCCGTGTTTTCGTTCCACCACAAAACCTGATCTGCAATCTGTTTGATAGTAAGCCGGGTGACATGCTGCGTCATTTCCAAAACACAACAGACTATATTTAAGTACTTCCACCTCATAGCCTTCTAGAATAGTGGTTCTCAATTTCATACTAAAATGGCTAATTTGACCTTAAAACGCAATTTTTTAAGAGGTAGAGCCAGAATATTTTGTTATTGCTAATTGATTTGGCATCCAAAATTCGAGAGAACTTGCTCTATATTCGTCATTGTGTCTGCAGCTATCCTAATCGCCCTTGGGCAACACAAGAGTAGAAAAAATTGGCGCTTTAAGCACCAAACAGCTTTTGGTAAAGATTCCGCCTATTTTTATAATGTTAAAGTCATTTAGCAGAAACTCTTTGCCAAAATTTCATAGCACAGCATGTCACAAATTGCTCCCGTTAGACACAATCAAATAGCTTGACATTTGTGCACGACAAATTGATAATAAACGTACGTCTGAATAAAAGCTTATTTTGCATTAAAAACGAGGGCCTCTTTTGAGGGCGTAAAAAAATGGCAAAGAATTATTTTTCAGTAAAGTTGCGAGAAAACCTTGCGAAAATTTGGGTTTTTAGTGCCACAATGGTAAAAATCTCTTCTGATTAGATGTGTATTAGAAAATGTGCAGAAGATTGTAGGGGAAATTGTTCAAAAGCACTCATTCGTCATTACACAGAATATGTTAGATTAAGGTCGTTATGCTAAAATTTTTCTGCTGAGGTCGGGTTTCGCAAATCAAGTAAGCAGGCTTCTTCATATATCCAAATCACTTTATGTTTACAAATGGCTAGGAGTATAGAAGAGAGGGTCCTTCAGCGTCTACATCATGCATATGCTGGTGAATTCGAAGCCATTGCGGTTCTCCACCCTATTCTTGAATAGTTACCTTCTCTATCCCTTTGAGATAGGCAAACTAAACTCCGCTCCCATCCATTTCCAATTTTCCATTGTTGCTTTGACCGAAATGATTTTTGAAGGCATTACCAAAAGCTGGAGTATCAAAGAGACACGTCTTGTAGTTTATTCCGCTGAACCTGCTTAGGTAAATGCATCTTATGAAGATGTAATTCTCCTTATAGTTTAGCACTTAGGCAATGGCTCATCAATTTGCTCATGTTATTGAATTAATATGGTATATAGAAGGCATTTGTACAAAAGCCATATGTGACAACAAGTGCGGTTTGCTAGTTCTTGTCTCAATCGTTAATAAACTCTACTTATATAGGACACTTGAAGCGTAATTTGTTTATATCACTTTCATTTTTTACCGTGCTTTGCTTTTTATAGTAGCTTGAAATGGGCATTATTTTGTTTTATTTAAAATATCATATAGAGAATTAAAAGTTAACTTTAACTGCAACTCATCCAGGAGGTGAGGCCACTTGCAAAGCTGTAAATCAAATAACTTCCTCGTGCTTACCAGGAGTGCGATAGGATAAGAATAAATACCCTTACCTACATGCAGATTTAAGTTAATGTTTTTTTATGTTTCACTAACTGTTTGACGCATCCCTTCTATCCTGCTTTCCCTAAGCCGAAGATGGTGGATCTCAGTTGCTGAGGCGAAACCACATTATCTCACAGATGAAATACCACAACTACAATGGCTTAGCTCGCTTATTTAGGTGGTTAAGCCGAGGAAGATGCTAAAGGGTGTCAACGTGGCCCCCACGTCTATTACTATCTCCAGTTGATGCTGCATAGCAAGGCACAGTAGGATAAGGAATTTTTCCGAGAACAAGATATGTGCCTTTTTGTCCGACCTGTCACCAAGCATCAGCCCATTTCAAAGCTCATTTTCCAAAATGCGTTTAAATTATTCTTTCTGTGAATCCCAATAAGATCTGACAAATAGAAGTGCAGCACCCACTTTTTCATCCACCTTCTTCGTTTAATCAAAATTTCAGCGAAGAGTTTGCTGACAAGTTACGAGTACACCATTTTAACGATTTGTTGCCATTTTTTACGCTGTTTGCATCCGAGAGGGAATTCATTGAATGCTCGTAAGAATCCTTTATTCCAGTGTCTTACTTTCTTTGCGATATCTGAACGCTCAAATAACAGATGGCTATAAAAATTAACATTGAGTTAATTCCTGCATGAGAATGATACCTGTAAATAAGTTGGAAGTGCGCTATGCAGCAAGGACATTCATGAATTAGGATGTTTTCTAAGATTCTCTGTAAAAATATAGCCGAAATATTTTTTCCATTTTGATAGAATAATGCTGATATCATGCCTCATGATTTATTTTTGAAGTGTGCATCTCTGTTTTGTTTAAGGAATGCGCTGCCTGCAAATATTCTTGATTATTTGGTGGGATCAGATGTAAACATCATGTACTTCAAGCTTTAAAAAAAACGAAATTTTAGAGCACAATTAAGTAGTTCATGGTATATATCAAGCCCAAAGGTACTGCGATTGGGCTTTGTTAAGGATATCTGTAGATGTTCAATTTGCTAATGATAAACCCGTGTCCTTAAAAGGTTTATGAAACACACGTGCACTCAAGCGTCTGAATTTTTGTAGATGTATTCCTCTGCAAGCGATGAAATAAGTACTTAAATACACATAGCTACCAATTCGTTTAAATACTGTTACATTCAGGAGGAGACAAATTGACTTAATCGTGCCTCCTAGCTTCGTCAATGACACGCTGATTCCCGAGGTCACTAAGAAAGGGTCGATAGACTACACAACTTGACTCTTGCATTACGCTCAACGCATGAATCAACATTAATGAGTGTTCGATGTCATGAATGTAATCTGGCTAGGGTAACCTTAGGGGCGTTTGGTAAAGTTTTCTGGACCTTCCTAGAAGTTTTATAGTTATGCTGAAATAATCATGACTTGTTCCTTATCTACAGAGAGAAGTAGTGCCTAATAAAATGATGTGATTTGAAAACCTAAGTCAAAAAATAATGCGGAAATCCATCGTGTCTCACGTATGGCAAGAATTCTTTAACTTGCTCGTACTTTCGTGGTTGATAACTTGGAATGGAATGGATGTTGAATCGATCTTTAGAGAAAAAGAATGAATTTGAGGACTGATGGATAAGAGTCTTATCCAGAGCAAATTGCTCTCCATCCACTCATCTTGTGCGAATCGGTAGCAGCTGTCACCAACATGTTGTATTTGTTTGGTACTTAGGAAGAGTATTATCAATTCACTTTTACAGCCGCGATCCAAGGTCTCCACCCGACAGTCGCGCATTAGTTTGCCACCCCGCTTTACAAAACAAATGTCTTTTAAGCAGCCGTGATGATTTGACTGAACATTTTGTTAATTTATGGGAAAGTTTAATGATCAAGGGCTGCTTTGATGAACTAAGGAAGTCATAAATGTAAAAGGAAGTGTCTTATTCTTTTAAAGTGCAACAGAGCAGCAACCTTGCTACCTGATTTTAATTCCCTCATCATTCCTCGGGGATGTTATCACAGCCGACTGAAAGTCGGTAAATGTTGCAAACAGCAGGAGAACATGGTCCTTGGCATGGTTTCCAAGCTATCCCTCAAATCATCTTCACTAATCTCGAAGTGACCATGACATTGTGAAAGATTTTGCTTCCAACATCCTATACCATATCAGTTAACGTCCTTTTAAATATAGTGGCTTACATATTTTGCTTTTCTCTGCGTTATTCTGCTCCAATCAGATTTGACATTATCTAATCTGATCTGCTCAGCATTGCTGTGTTCTACCCTTCATGCCCAATGGATATTAGTCATTAGTGAACATGAAATTTTCCCTCCATCCCCATTCAGCCCCAACACTGGGTGCGCAAATTTCACGGAAACCACTCAAGCAACTCTGACATCTCAACACAAAGCCCTTAAGCGTGCATTAAACTTACTTCGATGCATCTGAATTCCTTTAAAAAGCGACTTATATCCAGGTCTTTTCCTCAGCTAAACATCGGCTTTTAATTTGTGGTGGGAGAATAGAAGAAGCGGATACTAGGGATGCTGAAGTGTTAGGGGAGGAGATGGAAATGCAGAAACAATTGCATTAGAGTTTGGGTGAGGGACAGAGGTAGATGTTGCTATCCAAAACCAATGCTAATTAATTTCAACTAAATCGGAGTTGGCTATTGGAAAACACCACATGACCACCTAGGACTCCATCATAAATTGCTACTTGCTACTCATCACGAAGATCATAGTCACTGCTCCACCGAAATGCAAATGCTTCGCTTGGAACTGTAGTTCCATTCTGGCCTTATTTTCCACTTTTCAGCGGATGTGAATTGCCAGGCAGAGTAAGACGTGTCTGGGTCCAGCATTGCTCATTGCAAAGGAATGTGATAGTATTTGCTATCACCTTTTCCCTTTCGTTATTACTTTCGTCAGACTAATCAAAGCACTGTAAATTGACTGGGGTTTGGCTGCTCGTAGTTTGCCCTCCCTATACTTATGGCGGACACAACTCAGGAAATACGTGGCCTCACATGTGAGCTAAAAGTAGTGCAGGCGAACCATCTCTTTCTGTGGAGCAAAGTTGTCATAATCTGTCACTAGGTTTGCCAAAACAGGAAGGCATTCAGGTAGATGTTGTACGTGTGAAAGATTCCTTTTTTTAGGAAATAAAACAATTACTTAAATGGAAATGGTTGAATGGTTAAATCATTACTAGGATGTGTCACTACAGACGTAGCACCTCAGCAGGTCTGTACATCCTAACACGCTCACACACACCTATACCCAAGGATGATGGCAAACACCGTCGGTGCTGCTAACCCCGTAATAATTCCATAAAAGCTAGGGACAGTACTCCCTTTTAATAGTGCAAGTATTACCCGTAGCCATTGTTAACACCAACGATAGCCAGGAGGGGGGTTTTGTGGAAGTTGACCAGCCGAGTAGCAAATGTCGCGAAACAGAGGATGGTGTTTCGATTCAAGAATATCGGTCTATTCTTCACTAAACATCTAGCCATGTGAAACATCGTTAGTCACAACCTCGTATCCCGAAAATGCGGTCGCATTTGAATATGAATGTGTAAATATGAATACAAAGCTTCCGTACTCTTTCAACTGCGAATGCAAATCTGCGGAAGATGGAGATAAATCTTTGCAAGCACTTGACACTGCTTCATCGCCCTTGCTCTCTTCTACCCTCTATTCCCGTCCACTTCGTCCGCCTCCAACCCCTACCCCAATTTATCTCCTTTCTTATTTAACGAGTATTTAGTAAATTTTCAAGAGACGCAAATCCTTCTGCTGTCTGTTACTCTAGAAAGTGCTACAGCTGTTTATTTTTAATATCACTTGATTTGCAAAAGAAAATGCAAAAATTCAATGATATGGCGAGGTTGTTGAGATAAAATGTGATTCACTGTCAGTTCAACTTGTTGCACCTGTTTAATTGGGATTGCTGTCTTGTAAAGTGCATTTCAGCCACCATAATCCACGACTGCAAAGAGAGCAGGGGACGGAAATTGGCAGGCAAGCTGATGAGACAGAGACTTTTGTGGCGCTTTCGACTGCTGTCAAATTGGATACATCGTCATGGAACGCTGTGCCCACCGTGGCGTTGAGTAATCATGGAACATAGCAGCCATTTTGCCGAAGTTTGCAATTACCACCTGTGTTCACTTTTGAACAAATCTGTAGCATACGGATAATAGGATGGATTTTAAAATTT